CTGGCGTCCGTGGTGGTGCTGAGCTCGGGGACGGGGCTGTTGTGGTACGGGTGGTACAAGTTCTGCGTGGAGGAGGAGCTGCGCGCGACGTTAGCGTCGGGCCCCGGCGGGTATGTGGCGCTGGGCCCGTTCGGCGCGGCGCTGGCCGCGGCCGCGGCGCTGCCGGCCGGCGGGCCCGCGGAGGCCGCGGCGGCGTTCGCGGTCGCGTGGATTGTCGGCGTGCAGTACGGGCTTTACGGGCGCATTAATACCGTGTGCGAGAGGGAGGGCTTAGGGAGCCCGCTGACGCCGGCGTGGGTTGTGGTGCCCGGGTTTAACTTGGTCGTCGGGTTGAGGAGTATTCACTTTTTGGCAAAGGCTTGGGGCTCCGGCGACGACTGGGTTGTGGAGAGGTTTCCATTTTTGGGGAAGGATACGTTGGGAGTTGTTGAGCTTCTTACCACGCCGAAGCTGTGGATCAAGTTGTGAGGCGCGGTGCGCAACGCGGCACGCGGTGTCGAAAAAATGTCTTTATGTACAGCATGCGAAGTAGAATAGAAAAATTTCCTTTTTGAGAGGGCATGCACACATCGTAAGGCGCATCTCCCGTGAGAGAAGCCTTCTCCGCCATCTCGCCGCGCACCTTCACTCTTTCCACCTCCACACGCGCGCATGTCCTCGCCAGCCTTCGCGGTCGCGCCGCTGCTGCCGCGGTCTCGCGCGCGTCATGCGCGCCGCAGCCGCACCCCCTGCATGCACGGCCCACCGACGCCCGCGCCGGACTACTCGCGCATCGACGCCAACCCGGTCAACCGTCGCCTGACAACCATCTTCCGGGGCAAGCTGGAGGACGAGCTGGGGCGCCCCGCCCCAGTCGCCGGCTACGCCGGCGTCGTGTACGCGGTCAACGCGCTTGCCCAGCGCCACCGTGGCAACCCCGACGCTTTGCGCCTCGCTAGCGAGCGCGTGCTACAGTCCCTGTTTCCGAGCTGGCTGCCGCCGGCTTTCGATGTCATCTTCTCACGCAATGTGCCCTACTTTGCAAAGTGGATTAACGCCGTCGTTACCGTCGCGGTCACGCAGTGGCTCATGGGGCCGTCCAGGCTTGCGGAGGGCGGAATGACTGTTGAAATTGAGAGGTGTCGCTATCTTGAAGGTAAGTTGCCCCCCCCCCCCCCCCCCCCCCGCCCGTGCTTGTGAGGCGGCGTCCTATTTGCTCTCCGTATTTCCGCGCATTTCCGTCCCTATTGACCATCTGCATCCACTGGTGAATCATATTCTTAACGCTCCGAGTCTTCTTCTCCCTCTCGCGCCTCACCTTGTCTGCGTAGAAACAGGCTGTGTCGGAATCTGCCTGCATTCATGTAAAGCAGCCACAGAGTCTTTCTTTCAGAAAAATATGGGAGTCGATCTCGCCATCGAACCCAATCTTGACGATTACAGCTGCAAGTTTGCTTTTGGTAAACCACCCTTGCCTGAGGGCGAAGATCCCATGTATCAACAACCCTGTTTCGAGAAGTGCCCCATGAGTAAAGCCCCACCCGATGCCGCTTGCAATTCCGTTACGGGAGCTTCTTGACAAAATTACTCACTGCCAAGCTCTGACAACTTGTATCGACGCAGGAGATAATAATAATAATAAAAGTCTCTGCCGTTGTCAAGGGGGGACCTACCCTGAAAAGGAATGATCAAGATGACTGCATTTCAACATCCGATGATCGCGCATGCCTTCGATCATGTCGCCCTTCTGATCCGCGCAGCATCTGCATATCCTTCCTATCCGAATCATCATCGTCTTCTCCCGAGCTTTCATCCTCCCTCGCCATCCCCTCGTCACCCTCCCCGCCTTCCTTCCCCCTACTATGGCTATCGATCTCCGGTTCATCCGTCCATCCGCGCTCAATAAACCTAGCATACCCTCTCAACCGCGCAATCTTGCCATCAATATGCGCCGCATGGCTCTCAATCCTGCGCCCCTCCCTCTCCGCGCGATGCAGCTCGGCGACCATTTTCCTCTGCCTCTCCCTGGCCTTCCAAAACTCCTTCCTTATGCTGCCGACAACCGCAATCTCATCGGCCACCTTGGCATAATCCAAGTCCTCCATCACCTTCCGCAGCTCCGGCACGGCATCTGACCTTCCATCCACGGTCGCCTTAATGCTCTCAATGCGCTCCTTGCACCAAC